AGAAGAGAGAGAGAGAGAGAAGGAAAAGTGTGATCCAGTAACAAAAATCAGAAATAAAATATGAATTAAAAGAGTATAATAAAAATATAAATATAAATTTAAAAAAGTAATGACGTGATAACTTTATTAAAAAAAGACTAATTTTGAGAAACAATCGCGATATTAACATTATATAAATTTACTGGGTTTAAGATTTTTATGTATTTTCCTTCGACAATAATGAGGAATAATGAAGACCAGGGAGCTTGGGCGCTACTATTTTTCGAACTGAAAATTTTACTCATAATATTATCACGACGTTGCATTGATCGGACCAACGTAGTTATCTTCCAAGACACTAACAAACTTGTTACGAGAAAATGCACTTTTAGTGACTTCCACTTTTACTTACTTCCACTTTTACACCTTTCACCCCTTTTTGCTTGGGAACGGCCATTAACGAATTTGAAGCGACGTGAAACATGCGGTTTTTTCGATATTTCTGAAAACAAACTTGGTCTTCATGCAGCAGCCAGCCGCAGTTCGGAAGATCCAAGTCCGAGCGCCAATAATTCTTTAAAGCCCGTTATATGTCCGCGCGAGAAGAAAAGCGGAAACGTTTTATCCTCGAGTCACACAAAAATCCTGATTTACCAGCGATAATACTTTCTCGTAAAAATCTCCCTTGACAAAAGGGTAAGGTATAATATGATATGAAAATGTCTTTCATTTTTATCCACTCCGGGGTAACGTGCGCACACATTCATTCCTCTCCATTTTATATATAAACGTTGCCATCGGAGAAGATTCGAGAGACTAAGTGAGATTAATGTTCCTAGTACCTTCCTTTAAGCAACCATTCGAATTTTGTTTCCACGATGAAAATTTGTTGAATTCCGACGCGAAACAAGATTAACTTCTCTAACAAGTGCAAGTATGTAAAGGTTGTTCGATCATAAATGCGTGCTGCACTACCGTGTAAACAATTGGCATTTATTATTTCGGAACAATCGATAGGTGATCGATCGGTCTAAGTTGGCATCGAAGGAAGAGGCGCCATCGAAGTGATAAATCAAATATTTTATGACGATTCAATTTACAGAAATTGCATATTTTTAATAACCTTTTTAATTAAGTAATTTTCTTCGTGGCTGCTAATTACGACGGTCGATGGCAAATTATTATCATTATAAATCACATAATGCAAATCTTTAGAAGTGTAAATCTTTAGAAGTAAAAAATTCGAGAATGCTTATGAATCAAAAAGTTTTGTAAAGAATTTTTTATTTATACACGTTTATGACTTTTGTATAAATTATACGAACAAAGTAAAGTATATTTGAGATTAATGGTGTTCAATATCAATCTCTTTAGTTCTTTCCTGACACGGACAACTTGCTCTTGAATGCAATTTAATTTCCGCATAATTTCACCAACGTGAAATTAAATAAAAATTGGAAGACATTAATTTTTAGTGATATCAAGATAAAACTTGAGAAAATTATAATTACCGAGTTCAAAATATATTTATAATTATGGCAAAACATGCAGTAAATTAGTTGCACAAATTCTACTTAAAAAAAATACTAATAATTTTTAATTTTAGATGTAACAAAGAGATGTAAACGTTGTACTCCATTTTTTGCATTTGCATCGATACGATTAAATGTAGAATTTACTCGCAGCATCGAAAAATGGGTTTCGCCGATTTTAACCCTTGCCTGAAATGCCCTTATTGCCTGGGAAAAATCGAACGTTTCTACGTCATTGGTCATAGTAGCCGGGCTCATAACATTGTCTCTCACAACGGCTGATCGAAAGTCGGCGCGTTCCGTGTCTGTTCTGCGAAATTGCGGCTGGAGTCCATTTTTTATGAGATACAGAGTTCAATATCTCTTTGCCTAGCGACCGGCGAAGTTCCGTGCGTTGCGAAGTTTCGCGCTGGCCAATTCTCTATAGAGCGCCGCGCTTCAAAGTTATTAACAACATCCCACAAAGGGACTTGAGTATCAAAGTAAGGCGATTGTAAGTACATTTCACTCGTGAATGGTCACACTAAAGGAGCGAAGAGAAAAATTTATCTAATGCCGTGAGTGCACGGCATTAAATATTGGCTTCATGTTCTTTCATCCTCTATATATTAAAAGCAAATATATTTATCATATATTTGCGTCTTTCAAAACGACATGAAAAAAAAATGATTTTCGTTTTAATATTGTCTGACAATTCCCTTTATAGCTGCTTTATATTTCTCTAATAATCAAGAAGTTCATCCCTTCGCATGTTCGTCTACGAAAATTGGGGACAATCGATGGTCACAAGATCCTCAGGATTTCACCTATCAGGTTCGTTAATCTCAATCAGGGATCGGAATTACCACAAAGGATCGCGCATCGAATATCTTGTCCACCTCTCGTTGCATCATCAAGTTACCCAACGATACGCCAAAATATTTCGATCGTATCTGGTGGTTTATACACTGAATATTCGCCTAAATTTGAGACTAATCTTACTTTAATGTAATCTAACCTTAAGAGTTAACTCGAGTCACAGAATATTAAAATGTATAATACTTAAACAGCGATTTTCTTCGATATTTTTACTGGGAAAAGACGCCTTTGCAACAAATAACATTATGCGTCTACTTTTTAGTAACTTATTATATGACTTTATCGTCTATAAATTATATCAATCCATCAGTAATTTTACGTTTCAACGGAGAATACAAAAAGAATACAAAAGAACGAAGTTATTATAATTACAAATATTTAAAATGAAGAGTTCAAAGAGTTTTGGTTACGCAAACAGAGAAGGGAAAATTGAAAATTCACCCTTTGAGTACTCGCAAACACGTCGCATGTCGAAAACTTGGAGAAACGTGGCGAATGCACAAAGGAAAAGTTTTCGTTAATTCCTTTCGCCCGCGTTAAATTCGAGCGGATGTTATCTGACCCATGTAGAAAAGCGATTTTGTGTTTCGATGGAAAATAGAGTTTTTATCGCGGTTAATATCACCAGGGATTACATCGAACATTTTGCTTGCCTCCCTGCCTCGGTTCAACAAATATCCTGTCGGTGTGGAAATCGAGAAACCGAAATTGCTTCGTTAAAGATTCCATTTCGTGACTGCGTACTCTGCGTATTGTTTCATTGGATATTTATCTTGCGTTATGGTGGAAAGTAACGAAATATAAATGTATTACGAAATTATGATTGCGCATGAATTTAAAGCTTTCCGATTAATCTAGCTGATTACGTTATGTAATCTACATGGCGAGCAAATCACCATTACATTATAATGTATATTGTAATGTTTCCTAAATTTCATGCTGTAGAAAGAAAGTTTCTACCTAATTAAATTGAATTAATTAATAATTTTAATAAAGGGATTTCACAGCGCGCCGCAATTTTACATTGCGCGCCATAACTTCCATTGTTCCATAATTTATGTAATATGTGAAAACATAGCGCGCTGTGTTTTTACGTATATTTTTATATTTTAATATACGTTGACACAAATGGCGAAACTCAGTCCTACATAAAGCTGCATTACGCGACTTTAAAATGTCAAACGCGAGAAACTTCTACAAAGATTGTTCCAAATGAACATAATAAGGTTTAGCAGAACAAAATCTTTGTTCTAAACAACATTTGACAGTTCGCAAGTTTACTTTATTATGAGAAGTTTTCAACTCTTTAAAATTTCACCGCTTGCAAGATAAACCACCGCCGTCTCGGGGGAATGTACAAGCTCAGATACGGTGCCTTTAAGGGAAGTAAATCGCGTTTTATTTCCGGAATTGTGAAAATCACCTACCAACCCCCTGGAGTACATTCGGATACCCCTTGGAGAAAATTTCTAACTAAGGTACTAGATCTTCTGTCTCCGAATGGATTTGCGAAACTCGTCAAAAATCAATGCAAATCACAATTGCATTTAGTATATATGTAACAGGATATAAAATATTTTATTTTTTTTATATCTTTATTTATTCAAATCTCGATTATTACGTCATTCCATAAAAATTTCTCGCTAAGGATTACACGATTATTCCCAAAATTCGCAACTATGGGTCTAATTAAAAGATTGAATTTAGAAGATAAAACATTCAATAGATAAGAGATAATAATTTTTTCCATCACGCAATTTTTGCGTCACGTCCGTAATTTCTTTCTTACGAATATAAGGCAATAAGATACGGCGGATTGTATATATTCGCGCGTGGAATATTTAAACAGGCATGAAACAGGCTATGTAAAATCCAAGTCCCCACGGAGGGAAATGAATGGTCAGAGAGCGCAACTATTACAGCGAGCATTCCAGATTTATGCGAGATCCGAAATAGCGCGTGTCGAAGTAAAGAGTACAGCGACAACTCGGCTTTTCTGTAGATTTCCTATGTCAATCCGCGAGAAGTTACAACGAGGTAGAATGCCGCCGTCGTCAGGTGAGCATCGATGTATATTGCATTATTCAATACAGTAACCAAGTATCATCGGACATTGAGACTGCGTTCCTGGGGTAGATATTACATTCCAAATGTAGGCGCTCTATGTTGCACAATATCGACCGTATATACTTTTGCAGTAGTTCTCACCTTTCAAGTTAATAGCGCACTTATGTCAAGTAATCGAGTTATCTCTATAATCAACATTACATAACTCTTTAAGCCACAAATTTCTTCTCTAATAATTCATGCAAAAAATTTGAATAACGGACTACTGAGTGGCATTGTCTCTCTTATTAAAGCATCAAATGCTGCATTTTTATTTTCTCACGTTTTCTCACGCCGTTTTTTCTCTACTTTTATTTCTGCTAATTACAAGTATGCAAAATTTTTAGTCACATGTAATACGACTATATTTCGACGGAAACTTCAAAAGAACTTCTTACCTCTGGCGGCGATATTAAAAATGTACGTTGAACTGTGATGAATCCGAATGCCCCTCTCTCTCTTTTTTCTGTCTTGATACTTGCTTTTTTTTTTTTACACCACTGATGAAGAAAAGGCCGACAAAAGAACGCGATCTTTACCCGCGAAAGTTCTCCACGTGACTGACGGGAATAGGTGTATCCGTCGCTGCCGGGAAAAGCCAAACAGAAATCTCCTGCAGCGCGCAGACTCGTTGGCGGATGGAGCACGTCAAAATAAAGCAAGACACGCATGTTTTTGGATCTGTTTATCTTAGCTGTGCTACATTTCAAACTTCCCATTAAAATTAATTTAAAAAATACATGAAATCTGACGCGACGAAAAATAGTGCTCTCAACTGACATGTTTCTACGCCACTTCAAGGGGAAAAAAAAGAGATAAACTGAACCAATTATATTAGATATGACATTGCAAAATGCTCATGTTTTGAAAAACATCAGAAAAATATTAATAAAATTATTTAAAATTATTTTTTGCTATTTTTTTTGTTTGTGTCACATTGCGTTTTCTGTGTCCATGAAAGAAATGTTACCTTCAAATGATATTTTTCCAGAAAACACGGAGTTACACGTAATATAAACGTTAGTTGTAATTTCTAATTCAACAATATAACACGTGTGTTATATAACAGTTACATTGTTGAATGGAAAATTACAATTAACGTTTACATTATATGTAATTTAGTGTTTGCTAGATTAATGTTTATCGAACAATACTTCTTCAAAATAAAATTTTTTTCTAAAATAATATTCGAATTAAATTAAACATACATAAAATTAAAATAAGTAATAAAAAATAACAATTTTTAAATTTTAATTATTAATATTAATTATAAAATTAAAATTTATTAAAAAATAGCGTTGTTTATAAAACACCTTTACGGAAATCCAATTTAATACTGAAAATTACATATTTTGATACATATTATTATTAGAAACATTGAATAATAATGCTTTTAATATTCAAAATACATAATTAATCACTATTATTTTAGTATTACAGTATTACAACGGCAAAGGAGAAAAGAGATTATTATTTGAGAGAGAAATTTTAATTAGACGCGTATGTCAACTTATTTATATAATTAATGTGTAATAAACATTATATATAATAACATATCGATGTATAAATATTAAGCCTTGTGTCCGATAGAAATAGATGAAAGATATTGAACGAAAAAAAATTTGATCAATTGTATTGATCAATTGACTGAAATAGCTACTGCAATTGGTCAATTTTTCTTTTGTCCAAGATCGATTTCCAGCATTGTGAAACACAAAGCTTTATTAATGCAAAGCTTTTTGCACAATTAAAGAAAAATGATTACGAAAGGGAATGTTATAGAAATAGAGAATGGAGAAGATTTGGATTGAATAACGACTATAACGAGTCATGAAGTACCATCTAGCGTCATTTATACAAGACCCACGATCCGAAAATTGTTGATAAAAAGAATTTTTTTGTAATTTAATTGAAAATATATTTGAAAGAATTTTTTCAAAAATAAAAAAAGGTTCAATAAAAACATATAATCAAATATCTGATTAATTAATCTTTATGATTTTCTATTTAAATAAAAATTATTTGAATTACCATGAATGACATCTGACCATGAATCACGTGCAATATGGCGGGGAAAAAAGGCGGGAAAATCAGCATCATGGTGAATCACATGGAGAAGGCTTGAAGAAGTTGCGAGAAAGTCTGAATTCATAGAACGATGCTTTATCTCTTCATGTTTTCTATCATTCGTTGCAAGTAACAGGTATGTTATGAACAAACAATATTAAATTAAAGACTACTGATTGCATATACGTGATTTAAGCATAGTATTCTCTATTTGCACTCAACTTAGGTTCACTTTCGTCACTGTAGCAGAAGTTGACCACAGTAAACAAAAGGATGGATTATAAAGCACGTCGGCGTTACACAGCTGTCGTAGAAACGAGTTTTAATAATGATTATCCTCATGATATACAAATGTATGATGTGCCACCAGCAGGTGAAATATCGCTGGAAGAGTTTAATGAATTGGGATTTGACAGATTAAAAGGTAATCTTTTAAGATTTTTTGTTCTTTTGTATTTTTAAATATAGTATTTTAAATATAGTATTTTAAATATAGTATTTGTGTTAATTATGCAATGTGATTGACTTTATTGTAGCATTACGACTGATAGAAACGACAAATTGTAGAAGCGATCTGAAAACATTAGAGGATCGCAAGAAAGCCTTTGGCGAGTCTCTAAAACTTGATGGGTTGAAATACTATATGAATCTATTGTATGCCGATGGATCTAATCCACAATCAGAGGAATATTCGCAAATCAGGAAGAAAGATCACATATCGCATTTTATTTTGAGATTAGTATATTGTCATAATGTTGAACAAACAAAGTGGTTTATTAATCAGGAAGTTGAATTCTTCAAATTAAGGTTTAGCTCATTAAATAAGAAGGGCATTGAACATCTATTGAATATTAACAGTATGGATTGTACGCCTGTATGTTCTATTGTACTTTGAAAAAATTATAATGTAATATATATGTACTGTAATTTATATATTAATATTCTTTAAGGTTTCACCAGATGAAAAACTTGAACTAAAAGAAGAGATTAGTTCATCGTCTGGAAAAGTTACAAACATTGACATTACTGATGTTTATAAAGTACCTTTTGAAAAAGTCACTGATTTAGTCAGAGGACGTAAAGTATATCTCAAGGCAGGAATGGCATATGTCACACATATGGATTTAATTTCTGTATTTGTCTCTTATTTTAAAGAAAATTTAACTGCAGGATTAGAGGTATGCCTTTATTAATTTCAATAAAAAATTGGATTAAATTCAATTAACTTCTATATTTTACAGAGTGCAAAGGTTCTATATAGTAATATATCTGATGATGAGAGGTTAACCAAATATTTAACTGATCTTCCTTCAGCCTTCTCTGGAATGGCACGTATTGTGTGGTCAACTACAGCTACACCTATTGATAAACTGAACGAGGTATAAATCAAGTACCATTTTAGTTGGAAATTTTATTTTCTTAAACTTGTCTTATTTAAAATTATATTTTTTTAGTTATCAAAGACATCTTATCCTTTATGTATGAGGACACTTCATGAAGCACTATATACCAACAGTCACTTGAAGAATTCAGGACGTATGCAATATGGATTATTTTTGAAAGGTATAGGCGTGACTTTAGAAGATGCTCTACATTTCTGGAGAGATACATTCTCAAAAAAGACAGACGGAGTTGCATTTGAAAAAAAATATGCATACTCCATTAGGCATTATTTTGGTAAAGAGGGAAGACAAACAAATTATACTCCATATGGTTGTCAAAAAATTATATCTAGTTCTGTCGGGCCTGGAGAATATCATGGATGTCCTTTCAGGCATATGGATCGTGATTCACTATACCAAAAGTTAACTAGTTGCGGTATATTTGCCTCTAGTAAGATTACTATTATTTTGTTACTATAAAACCGGAAATGTTCTGTTATGTTTCTTTTACATTTAAACACATTCATTTATTTTAGATACAACTCAAATATTGGACCTAGCTAAAGATGGACAATATCATTTGGCATGTGCCAAATATTTTGAAGTTATACACAATAAACCAGCAAGCAAACCACTTCTACATCCAAATGCATATTTTGCTGAAAGTCGTGCAATTTTAGCCGAAGACGATAGTAGTAGTAAAGGTAAATAACATTTTTAAAAAAGAAAGCTTTAGTATTTACATTGTATATTTAATATTTTATTTGTAGATTTGGACAACAAAGACAAATTTTCTCAAAGTACGATTAGAACTCCTGGAGGTCCGTCTTCAAAGAGAAGTGATAAATTTTCTACACCTTCTAGAAATACAGATTTTACTGGGACGCCAAATAACAGATACAGTACACCTACAGGAAATACAGACGCAATCGGAACGCCTTTGAGAAAAGATCAAAAAGCAAGTTATCAAACACCTAAACGAAATAAAATGACGCCAATAAACATCGCGGAAATGCTAAATGATGATGATTTTACAGAATATATGGATGTAGATTTTATGACTCAGTGTTAACAAATAGCGTTCTATCTTCCTGTATTATTAATGTATTTATATTTTTTAAATTTAACTTACAAAATAACTCCAAATGTATATTTTTTATGCTATTTATCAATACATTTGTTAATAATTATTAAACTAAATAAATTTTAATAAATATTGTTTATATAGGATATCAAATTGGATATCTAATGATACGAGAATAATTTTAGCAAAATATATTGCTATTCTTCTTGATATTTCATCATATCTTTTTGTATAATAATAGTATAAAATGAACAATCCTAACGTTCTAAAATCTAAATTGTAGAATATGAAAGTCGATAAAAATCGATAGTTACTAGAATGCAAAGAAGTCAATGAAATAATTTATAAAATAAATATTTCGTGTCTTGACAATTTAAATCTCTTTCAGTACAAAATATTAGCGAATCAATAAAATCAAATAAAATTAATGAAAGTCCAAATCTTTTAATAAAAAAGTCACTGAACAAATCTAAAATCAAATATAAAAATTGCATAAGTAAAAATTGCAAAGATTGCAATTGAAAAGAATTTTATCAAATTAAAAAAAATAGATCTAAGAATGTAATTAAATGTTTTTGTTGTAGAAAGCACATTTAAAGTTAGGACTTTGAGCAATCGAAATTCTTAACAGATAGTAAACTTTCTTAATATCTTGATTACTAGCGTATGCATTTATACTGACTTTCACATTTTGTAACTATATAAAATAGTGTTATCTTCCAAAAGCAAAGGAAATATATATCAAAAAATTACAGTAAGTTTGTTATATCTTGAAAAAAATATAATTTAATAATAAAATGCACAATGATCTCACATTAAACATGTAAAAATTAAAGATGTTAAAAACATACAACATGAATATAAATTGTTTATGTGCATAATTTGCATCAAATATGTAACAAAATAGTATTGGGCTATGTATTTGAACATATCTATAGCTACATGTCGTCTCTATATCTCTTATTAGTTTCGTTTATATATAAAAATATTTCAAATATATTTTTACATAATTATATTAATTATTAACTTTTAAATCGAAGAGCTTTGATAGGAAGTGCCAATGAATATATTGAAGTCGTAATATACGAAAGCTCGCAAAGCGTACATTAATTAGAAAAAAATCAATAGCTACATTATTATATATAATTGCATAAAAATTATACATAGCTATTGACCTCTTTTAATCGATATTTCGGTAGAAAATTTGTGCTAACGTCCTGTACCATTGACTCCACCAGCCTCTGTAGATCATATTTGTGCTGCCATCCCCAATCTCGCCGTGCTTCGCTATCGTCAAAAACTTGCGGCCAGCTTTCCGCTGAAATCAATCATCAACATACTGACGAAACTCGATTATTTCTTATTTGATTGAATTACAATATATATTACATACCGATATGCTGCCGTTTATCTGGCTTATAAGTAATTTTCAAATCTGGTACATATTTCAAGAGCTCGTTGAACAGCTCCTCGGGTGTGAAACTCATGGCTGTAACATTGTAAACTCGTCTTCGCAATAATTCGTTAGGTGTATTCAGAAACTGAAAAAGCGCCGACAAACAATCTTCGATGTATATCATCGGTAGTCTTGTGTGAGGCTCTAAATAGCACTCGTATCTTTTATTTAACAGCCCCTCGTGAAATACTGCTACAGCATAATCTACAAAACATAAAGACAACGAAAAATTATTATCGAGTCTTTTATAACACACGATATATGCATCCATCCGAAAGATTATTGAATCTTAAATAATTATTCTTAAGAGAATTTTGATTATTTATTAAATGAAATCTATTTTTTTATTACTTTCTAAAAAGATGAATTATGGTTATGAGGATTTTCCTGTCATTTTTATAATCAATCTATGCCTACAAAATGCAGAAAGAAGATAGACGATTAAATTAATAATGTAATTACGATAATTCAAGTTCGACTTGGTTCCGAAGAATTAACCCTTTCAAGAAAGAGTGAGGAAGGCTAGTTTTAAAATTTCAAATTATATTCTATGAAAATAGTAACGTAGCTAGCAATCGAATTCTATGCTAAAAATTAAACAACTTTCATTTAAATTTTTTTCTTCACAATGGCATACCTTAACTCTTAGTCGCTTTTTTGCATTTTCCTTAGTTTTTTAATTTTCTTCGTTTTTCGTATCTTAATTTCCTTAGTTTTTTCTTATTTTTTAATGCGTAAAGGATCAACAAATATACTGATACGTTAATAAAAAACATATTTTTACATATTTTTATTTTGTTTAGCCCGATTTAATTAGTGGACAACGCACAGTACTTATCATATCATTCGATCTTAGAAGAATTCGTAATTTCACAAATACATTAAGTGTTTATGTTACTTCGAATTCTTCTAAGATCGAAAGATATGATAGGCACCATTTTCATTGACGTCAATATAATTGCCTTTATACATTAAAAACTAAGGAAAATGTAAAAAAAAGCGACTAAAAGTTAAGGTTCACTGCCAGTAGCATTGTCCTTGAGAAACGATACATTCCACCATTAAGTAGTTATCTTAGTCGCGGTTAATGCTCTACTTCTTCGCGAAAGAGGGTAAAAGGCTCTATCAATTTTCAGTTATCAACCTATTCTGTATGCGATATTAAGCATTCCTTAAACATGAACACGATTATCTAGCTACAAGTCGGAAAATCTGAACATGCAACTTCGTTTTAAAAATATATATTCTTAATACGCCATGGTACGCGAATTCTTAAACAAGTATCGACAGGTAAATGCAGGTTATTCAAGGAGGCGAAACGAAAAAAACACGTACAAGTTATGCATTTAATAACGAACGGTAAACGGATCAGATTATACGTTTCAAACTTTATAAAAAATTCCAAACCGTGTTCAGGCATTTCCGTCACACATTATCATAGAAACAAAAATAATCTTATCTGGTGTCAAATGTGGGATAAGAATGAAGGAAGGACAACTTCATTCTCACCGGTGGTACCGCCGCCAGGGGGATCGCTGCTGATTACACCGGGGAATCGAAGACATCGGAAGTCCAGGCCGAAGCGATAATGATAATATTCTCCTAAGAGCTCGGCGTGAACCTTGCTGACACCGTAAATCGTACGTGGTCGTTGCACCGTGACATTTGGGGTGGGATTTCTCGGTGAGTCAGGACCAAATGCGCCGATCGTCGACGGTATGAAGATCCTCAGCTTATATTGCTTCGCTAACTCGATGACGTTGTGCATTCCTGTTATTTTGCAAAAAGAATAAATAATAAATATTTATGAAATTCATATTTAAATTTAATGCAAATATTCGCAGAGATTTTAAATGCCTCGAGACATATGTGCGCTTTGCACCACCCTCTCTCTCTCTCTCTCTCTCTCTAAGGTTGGTTTTGTCTTTTAGGAATGTTTTTGTAAATCGCGATATCATCTATTGCGCTACTCGTCCGCTTTCTCCCGGACACTTTCTTCCCTTCGTGATCACGACAACATTATAATTAATATCGTAATGACAAATTTACAGTTCTTGGCATAACATTCCATTTCACTTGGACGCAGTTCGCGGAAAAGCATGTTTTTGCATGAGAGATTTTGCGTTATATTATTATTGTAATATTAAAAACAAGCAAGAAGTGAATTACAAGCAAGAAGTGATTAGTATTAATAAAAAAATGTGACGTGCGTAAAAACACACGATTCCGATCAGACAAGAACGTATCTACCTTCGATATT